ACCAGCAGAGACGAAAAGGGCAAAGCCCAAGATCAATACTACTTTAGCAGCAAACATTATTGCTATTACTTCCTTGTCAAACTGAAAGTGGACACGTTTAGGAAGATCTTGTATTTATACGAAAAAAACCTATTGATTTGGCTTTGTGATAACAAACTACACCTGGCCTGAGTCGGAAATAGGATTACCTAATATACAATTATATTCAAATTAATGGATTGGAGTGGAAGTACTTCAAAGGGTGCAAACAATTTTGGCCAGTATTTTTTTTATTTTTAGATCTTTGACGTGTTGAGGTATGTAGAAATGTCTGAATAAAATTTGCTAATTTATACATGAGGTTAGTTAATTTAGGCCTACCTAAACACTTATTAGGTTATAGGTCGAAACTTTTAGGTAATAGATTTTTTTTATACTATTGTTTATTTACAATCTACATTCTTAAATAGTATTAAGTAAATGTGTAACAGATTTTGCACTTGAAGGAGAGATATCCAGTGATGTCTCACCTTATTCTATATTGGTTTAGTTCTGAAGAAGGTCTGGGGCTACGTTCTATCTAGTCTTCTTGTGGCTGGACCATTCTTGTATAATTCCCTTACTAGCTCATTTTCGTGGTGAATGGTAAGTTCATTTTGTGACTCCGTGGTTCGATGGATTTATTCTCTGATGAAAGGAATCTTTAAGTCATAGTGGAGTGTTTGATTACTTACGTATTATGGTGCATCCACATATCGATCTTAGCACTTTAGACTGAAATCTTTGGATAATATTCAGAAACGTTGGCTTTGCACAGCTGCATAGGTGTAGTCTTACAACTAGTCGCCTCTTACAACTAGTATTGCTAGGTCATCAGCAAAGGAAGCGATTGTAGTATTATTAGTCTCTGGTATATCGGCTGTGTAGAGTGAGAAAAGCGCGGCCCTAGAACACTACCCTGCGGGACTACAAAGTTGATAAGACAGAGGTTGGATTGTTGGTCTTTGCATTTTACAGAGAAATATCTATTTGATATGTAGGATCTATGTAGGAAGAAATAGTCACTGAATAGTGCTATTTTTACTTTGTAAAGCAGACCTCTGTTCCAAACTTTGTCAAACGCTTGTGAGATGTCTAGAAATAAAGCGTTGCAGTATTTCTTCTCTTTAAGACTTTTTGATATTTCATTTATCATTCGATGAACTTGTTAGGTAGTGGAGTGATTTTCCCGAAAACTAAACTGATGCTTTGGAAGTAGTGTTAGGAATTCATGATTTGCGTATATCCTTTGTAGCAGAAATCTATATATCTGTGGTTAGATATAACTGTTAGCAAAGTTATGGTCTTGCGAGGAAGTTGTTTTAGTACTTGTGCCGAGATTAAATCATAACCTGGGGCCTTTCGTGAATTGAGTTTGTTCATTTCTTTCCTGACTTCTATAGAAGTAAAACTTTTAATTGGGGCGAGACATTTGACATGCTGCGCTAATTAGTTCTTCCACTTCTTCATCACAGTCTGCTGGCTCTGTTTGAAATACGTTTGTAAGATGTTTAGCAAAAACGTCCGCTTTTTCTTTGTTAGATCAGGCCCATTCGCCATTTGGTTTACGGATGGGAGGAATAGTTGTGTATGGTTTCTTAAGCTTCTTAGTCGCCTTCCATAACATCTGGTCATTTGCTGTAAGGTTTGTAATGTAATTTTCGAAGGTTTCGTTGTTTGAGTCTTTGATGGCTAGTCCAAGTTGCTTACGTAGTCTATTGAATATATATAGGTCTATGTTGTTTCTAGATCTTTACCAAGTTCTTCTCGCACGGCGTTTTTTAGCAATGAGTTGGCGAATGTGCAGGGGAACATTTGTGGTATGTGTTGGTTTGTGTTCAGTTCGCGGTGTAAATTGCCATGCCGCTTTTTGCACAAGTGTGGTGAAATATTGAGCTGCTGTATCTAGGTCATGTGTAGATTTAATCCGCAGTTTAAGGTTGGTGTTTTCATCTAGGTAGGATTAAAAATCTACCACATTGGTGTTTTTAAATGTGGTACTCAGGCTCATAATAACCGATGTATGATCCGATGAGAGATCATAGTTGGATTCTATTAGACAGTTGTTTCTGGACACTCCTTTGCTTATGTAGTAGTCCAGCAGATCTGGAAGTTTTCTAAGGTCACTCGGCCAGTACGTAGGGATTCCACTGGGGTAGCAATCATAGTTGTTATCGGTCATTGCTTTTAGAAGACCACGACCTTTTGTTGTTGTGAGTCTTGAGCCCCAGTATATGTGTGTCGTATTCCAGTCACCCCGGCTACGAATTTGCTGCCAAGTAATTGGAAGAAGGCTTTGTATGTACCTGTGGAGATTGTGTGACGAGTTGGGCTATACATAGCAGATATTCAAAGTGCCATGGCATTGCATTTACTTGAATGATTGTCGCTTGTATTTTTTCTGTGGCATAATTCGGCAATACATGATGTGATATGCAGCTGCGGATGATTACCGTCGAGCCACTATGAGCTGTACCATCAGAATGAGATGTGCTGTATGTGGTATATAGGTTGCTTATGGTTTAGCAGGCCGTTAGCGTTCCATGTGGTAACTCTAAGTATATTTAAGAGTTTCTCTTTAGTTTTAGGTTTTGAATCGTTGGTTTGATATGTTGTCACGTCTGCATATGTTCTTTGATGATTTTGTAGAGTATTTAGCTGATTTGTTTCAGTACATACATGTGAGCTGTTGAAGTCTTTGAGGCTGTCGGTTTCCTCTTTTCTGTATATTTCTGGTTTCTACTAGTTTCCTCTAGAATATACAGCCCTTATAGTTAGCAGGCTGATCTTGTTTACATAGTGCACACTTAGCTGTAGTGTTGCTAGGTTTTTTACAATATTTTGTATTATGTTGTCCTCCAAATTTGACGCAGTAATGCGGTTTAGTGTAGTATGTTTGACTATGGCCATATGCTTGACATCGCATGCATTGAATGATTGACTTTGTGTCTTTTTTGGTGCCTCGACTGCTATTTTGGTGTGACATAAGAATGTTAGGTTGAATATGTCTTTGATGTTACTGTTGGGTTCAAGATCTATAAAAAAACAAAGATCAGGGCTTCTTTCCTGTTGTGGGTATAGAGTGATGGATATGTCTTATTACCACTCTATAGGCACGTTCTTCCTTTATTTGGTAAGTGTGATGAATGATTTCTTCTTCTCGTAAATATCTTATCAGTTTACGGTATGTATCTATTGTATATGTTGTAATCTTGACAGTGTCGTCTGGTAGAGTTCTGGTATAATAGGTTTCTCCGTCCATAATTTGTGCAAAGTTATCGATCATATTAAGTTTTTGACGCCGTATACGAATATTGGAAATGGTTTTGATATTTTCTGTTGTTTTTTTATTTTAGTCTGGTCAGAGCATTCGGCGTTTGATAATGCACTGTATCGATTTTGTATTTTTGTTGGTGGTGAGCTTGGAGAATTAGGATCATTATTTCGTTTTGAAAATTTACGTTTCTTAATATTTGCCATGAGTTTTTATGTTGGGTTTTTTGATCGTCGTCTTCGTTAGACTCCATATCCGAGTTTTCTGAATGTCTAATTGCAAGTTTTAGCTTTGTGTTTGAGGTCTGCCCTACAGTAAATGGGTTGCTAGTAAGTAGTGTTGAGTAAATTGCTTGGGGTTGTGGAGAAAATTGTTGTGGTTGTGGTGGAACAGCGAATTGATTTTGTGGAATGTTTGATATAGGAGTATTTGCGGGTTGCCAGTATATATGTGGTTTGGTGCATGTTCGGATGTGTATTCTAATAGAGAATATTGTTGAGGAGTTGGGTACAAGTTCCTAATTGTTTGTTAATTTTGTTCCTTCGTCACCGTTAATCATTCGTCTCTCCTTCAATATTTTTTGTGTTTTGTTTTCATCTGTTTCAAAGATGTCAAATGCGGTTTCATTACTTCTATATTTTAATGTTTGATACATTTTTCTGCTATATTGTTGATATCTTTGTGTAATTTTTGTAATAAGTGTAATTTTTGTAATAAACTACCATCGATACTGGATCAGAAGTCGTTAGGTAAACATGTAATTTTAACAAATCTTACAGCCTATGTCAATATACAACTGTATTCCAAGCTAAAGTTTTTTGCTTTCGTGACAGCATTGATGAAATTCTGAGTTGAGACCCTGTAGCAAAGAGAATCAACATTTATACAGACAGCCAAGCGATTACTCTGTCCGTGAAGAAGGCACCCACCAAATCAAAACTGGTAAGAAACTGCAAAGATATCTTTAACTATGAGTTTCTTTACTATGAGTCTTAAGTCATGAAAAGGTGCATGGGAATAAACAAGCAGATCTGTCGGCAAAATAAGCCTCGAGAGAAACCTTTCAACTGAAGCCTAAACTAGAAGAGATCCTCCAACTAGCAATGAGAAAACTGTTTGCTGTCCTTGGGGCCATAGGACTTAATAAAGTTTAATAAGAAAAAAAACAGGGTTTGGTACAAAGGTCTTATCAGTAAGTGCCAGAAAATAGTCTTTTGAGACAACTAAAAAGAAGAAGAAGTGTAGTTTGTACTGCAAATAAAAAAATTATCGGTTCTATGTATTAATCCAAATTTAGATTAAACTTGTTTGGCTTTCGTTATGTTACACTCTTTAAATACAAAAATATTTGTATATTATGAGATACACGATTACCTACCTATATTTTTTTGTGATATCTTTGTCTTTTGGCAAACTATTGCCGTATGTACATTACAGAGAGTCTTGTGATCTTAAAAAGCTATAGTATAATATAAAACCTTAAACAACACCCAAAATTAAAACAATTATTCACCATTCTTGGCTCCCTGTGGAATGATGCCACTAAAATCGACGATTTGAATAGATTATTATGTTATGTTAATAATAATGGTAATAATTAAGTATTTGGTCTATGGGCGGTTTTTTTATCACAAGCAACGTCAGTAGGTTTTTTGGTATAAATACTATACCTTTCACGATGTGTTCATATTCAGTTTGAAAGAACTAATGGCAAAAATGTTTGTCCCTAAAATTTTCTTGCTGTTGGGCTTTGCCCTTTTCGTCTCAGCTGGTAAGTTTTAAATCATTTTTTGGTTTTAAAATTTTTGTAAAAATTTTAATCGATAAAAGAATAGTATAGAAATCGGTTCCATAGTTTCTTTGATTTTTAACAAAACGTGAACACGGTTAAAATAAATAGTACCTATAGATCTGGATCATCAATTAATGTTTTCTTAGAGGATATCAAATCTAGATGTTCTAGGTAGAGTTATAATTTGAAAATAAACTAAAATTAATTGTAGAAAACGACCTTGATACCGGCTATGAAATTTTGAGATGCGCCAACAAAGCAATGAGAGCAGGAGTACCTGAATTGGGAGTGCCACCACACGATCCCTTCGTGGCCTTTAAAAACATCTCATGGACCGGAGACATTGGTGATGCTAGGTAAGCAGAACATCTGTGATTATTTGACCAATTTGATCCTTTATTTTGGATTGTGTATTTTAATTAGGCAATTTCTACCGATTTGTTAGCTAAGGTTTTAACTATAATTTTTTAAGAAAAATGTTAGATGTCTAAATCGAGAAGGAAGAACATAGACTACAAATTATTAAAAAAACTTTGAAAATAAGGCTATTATCGAGCACAAGTTAATTAAATCTAGCCCAAGTACTTTCGCTTAAAATAGCATCTTCAGGGGCATTTCGTCAAAATAAGAACTATCCGGCAAGCGTAGCATGTGGAAACATTAAAAATAACATAAATTATACAAAAACACTACACTAAAACGAGGACAAACAGTTTAAAATTACTTCTACGCTACATTCTCTGTCAGTATCTGGATGGATAATTACTTCTACGCTACATTCTCTGTCAGTATCTGGATGGATAATTATCCATCCAGATACTGACAGAGAATGTAGCGTAGAAGTAATTTTAAACTGTTTGTCCTCGTTTTAGTGTAGTGTTTTTGTATAATTTATGTTATTTTTAATGTTTCCACATTCTACGCTTGCCGAATAGTTCTTATTTTGACGAAATGCCCCTGAAGATGCTATTTTAAGCGAAAGTACTTGGGCCAGATTTAATTAACTTGTGCTCGATAATAGCCTTATTTTCAAAGTTCATTTATTCGAGCATTCAACCTCATTTCATTTATAAATTATTAAAAATAAGATAACAGTGAGGGAATCGATAGAACCAAAAACAATAGAATCGAAATTGAAAACATTGCTAGTTTTGTGTATTTAGGCAGCATTAGCAATAAGAATATGTAAACAGGAAATTTGACGATATAGATATACGCTTGGAACCGGTATACCAAATACTGAGATCAATCTAGTATGAACATTGGTTTTACCAATATTTATTAATCTGAGAAGAAAATGTCTGGGGCGATCACAAATCCTATTAACTGATACAGTCAAAAAATTATTCAATACGAACTTTGTCAATGCGGTAGATCCAACCCAAAATAGAGATATACCATAGGTAAATTAAATAGTATTTTTGTTACTATTTATGATTTAATTACAAAATTATTATTTATGATTTAATTTTGTTAGCGCTACCTAACTTTATGCTGGTACTTTTCGAACATTTCTACTGTTTGTGTGAAATTTTCATTGGATACTTGTAAACATATTTCCTTTTTATTTTTAGCACCTCAATTGACGTAGACACATTAAGATGGTATGGTCTTGCAGACTGGGACATATCTGCCAAGCAAATCAGTGATGACGCTGATGATGAAGCATTCTTTGACTACACCATACACTGGCCCGTTTTCACAATCAGCGGTAACTACAAAACAACCGTTAAAGAACTGTTCCTTGCGCAGAAATACAAAGGAAGCTTTAAGTAAGTATCAATATAAAGAAAATGATAAATATTGTATAGAAACTGATCTAGTTAAATTTTATTCAGTAAGCTTAATGTGTTTTATGTGTGCAGCTAGGAAGTACAGGTATTGTTCTTTTTAATATACTATCAACAGATAAAGAAGGACTAATTTAAATTAAATGTATACAGTTACAGAATATGTTTTATGTAACAATAAAACATTGAAAACTTTGTTTTCAAATTTCCACAAAATTTATTTTAACTCTTATCACTACAGCTGTTTCGGCTGATTGCCTTTCTCAAGTGATCTATTTTTGGCTTTCGTTTACTCTTTATAGTCTCTAATGAAATATGTTGAGGAGGGGAGAACTGTTTGCCATAAATTGGTCATTCAGAATTATATCTGTGTTTTTTAATTTGTTGATTTCCATAGATTCTAACAAAGATAACTTAAGGCCTTTATTTTGAATGTGAAGAATTTTTAATTTGTCATTAAAAGAATGAGTATGATCTAGAAGGTGAAGTGCGTATGTCGAATCTGTTTTTCTATTATTGAAAGCCCTTTTATGTTCTGCTATTCGTTTATTAAAGTTTCTACCAGTTTGACCGATGTAAGTTTTTGGGCAGTCACCACATTTAAGTTTGTACACACCACTATGTAAGTGTTTTTTATTTTGACTCTTGTTATTTTTAATATATTTGCCTAGATTGGTATTTGTTCGGAAAGCTGGTGTTATTCTTTTCTTTTTTATGTGTTTGCCTGTATATCTACTCGAGCAGAAGGTACTGGGTTTTTTTTCTGGTAATGGAAATACTAATTTCATGCATTCAGGTATGCTTTTCAGGCTTTCTTGTGTAGTTTTTGATTTAACATTTTATTAATTGTTTGTTCGTTGTATCCGTTGTTTACTGCTATTTGTTTAATTATATTTAATTCTGTCTCATAGTTGTATTTTGACATCGGAATTTCTGTTAATCCATGTAACATACTACGATATGCTGCCAGTTTATGTTGTGTTGGATGGGATGATGAATTGTGTATAGTCGTGTCAGTATGGATAGGTTTATGAAATATGGAATATGTTTTACCAAATGACCAAAACATATTTCAAATAAAGACATCTTTAGTGATGTCTCGACCAAAGACAATACCTGTATTAAATATATTTGTATTTTATTTATGAATTATGGAAACGCTATTTTGAAATTAAATTAATATACATCGATTTTTTTAGACTTGTCATGGAAAAACCAAAATGGACTGGAAGAATCAAATCTGGAAAAATTCAACCAAACGCCACTGTAGATAACTACACCGTTTCATGGCACGTTCCAGATATAAATGTAATCTTTTTTTAAAATATTTAAGTCATATCTTTCATTTTTCTATCTTCTACTAGGGGAACAGTTGTATTTTATTGTAACTGTTTGCTTCGGAGCACAGTAAATTCGATGCTACCTACTTATTTATTTATGAAGTACCGTAACATGGCATAATTAAATTAGCAACGAAGCTCACATAACTCCTTTAATAATAACTCATATTAACACCTTGGCATCCAAGTTATACCATTTGATATTTCATATTGAATTGTTTGTCTTTTATAGGTTTCCATTTCTGGATTGGGTCTCATTGGAAATGTTATAGCTCTCGCCATTCAAAAAGTTATTCAAACTACTGATCTTATCGGAAATGTCGTTGAAGACTTTCTTAAAATGAGATTCAACACTGTCTGGTACCCCACTGGCAATTTTTGGGTTCTCATGCAATGGTGTAAAGACAACAGTGGATCCACCGCATTACCATCTTTTAATTAAATAATTAACTAATAATAGACTTTTTGTCTAACTTTGTAAAGATATTCTATAATAAAATCGAAATAATTCTTTAATAATTTTTAAAATTTTTATTGAAAATTGAAAACAAATTCCTATTCCAGTGTCTCAAAATACAATTCTTATAGTACTCCACTGCAAGAGCACTACGTTTTAAACTCACATTTTTACATACATTTAAGAACAGGGGAAGACATGGATAACAGGTTGCCACAGGTTGTCCACAGTTAAAAGTGGACGCAAATAGTTTTGTAATTCTATTAATGGTGATCAATTTTTAAACGAAAATTTCGTTCATTTATTTTTTAAATAAAATATGCTGCTCATGATGTACATAAATGATTTTTATGTAAAATTAAATTCAATTTTTTTTAATATGACGATATAAGGTGGTCTGAGAACCATCATTTCTATTTGGAAATAGCTAATTTAGCTATTGCATTCCAGATAACGAGGAGCAGTTAAGTTTTTCTCAAAAAAATATGGCTCTATAACATGATTGTTTATAAGGCCGCTCCGAACGTTCACCTTTTCCGGATATTAGTTCCATAATAGTTTCCCATAATTCGATTTTTCTATCAAGCCATCTTCTAACAGCTTCTGATAAACTCTATGGAGCTAAAAATTTCTATTACCTAAAAATTTCGATCTATAACCTAATAAGTGTTCAGGCAGGCCTAAATAATTAACTAACCTCATGTATAAATTAAGAGACACAGTTAATAAAAGCATGTTAAGTGTGTCCAGATATGGTTACACAGACTGTGCGAAAGTAAGATTTTATCCATATTTGGTGCACATGGACGTTAAAGTGTAAATTATACTTTGGGTCCTTTACAAGTCTCAGGTTTGGACACATTGGCGCCCTTTATATTACAGTTCCTAAAATTCAGTGTTTCTTAATTCCTTTTGTCAACTGTGATCTAATTGTCATCTATAGTTTATCTATCAGTCAATGATTTATCGTCACTTTGCTATTAGCAATCCTTACTCACCCAATGAAGTTTCCGATTATGAGCAACGAGTCCTTTGTAAAGTTCTTGTGTACGATCGGCTTTGCCCACTTTATTATATTATTATATAGATAAGCATGTCTATGGATCAGTCAAAACACACCATTAAAAGATGTCAAATACGAATTTTTACTATCTTTAACTAAATTTTAAAATATATTTTGTCCAATATTTTATATGTTCTATTTTATATGTGTGTTATTAATGTTGAGTGTCATAGCTTTCTACAAATAACCTCAACGACTAGTAAGTTGCACTGACATTTTGTAATATATTGTAAGTATTTACACATTTTTCTAATTACAGTGTCTTGAAAAAGGAATTAAACAATTCCGAAAGCTAGACCAAAAGTCAAAAGAGTGTTTCTGTAACATCCCGGCCAAACGTCTGACTGCATCCCTAATAAACTTTGTTGTTTGTTTAAATCGACAGTCACTGATATCCAGTAGTTATTGTATATATATATATATATATATATATATATATATATATTTACATCCTACTATCCTTAAGGACTCAAACCATAGCGCAACCTTACGGCCTCTCCTATTTCCAGGTGTATATAATATTTTAGTCGTCGTGTATATCGAAACAGGTAACAAAACATTCTTAATGCCCTAGTTTCTATTTGGATAAAACAAAATTTAACATATACTCTCCCCTCGGTTCTCCTATCATTACCACCCTCGTGCCGATTTCCGATTTTACAGCCTCATCAGTATAATTTTTATCCGTATTGTGGTCTTGGGGCCTCATATACACGACCTTATAGACTCATACGGTGTTGTCAATTCGCTCACTGCGTATTTCGATAATTCGGGGATTCCCCTCTTTATTTCCTATTTAAGCCAAGAAAGTTATTACTCATTTCGCGATTGTTTAAGTAATGGATACCTCAAAATAGATTTATGATCTTAAAAACGGCAAAAGTATAATATTTAAGTAACCTATATTTTAAACAGAAGCTTATAAATGACCAAATATTGTTATGATTTCTAAAAATTTGAACCTGATATTTATTGAAAGATATAAATTAATAATATCAGCAAGTATTAGATGTAGGGAGCCTGATCTATGCTAACGTAGGGACTGACCACAATTTAGTTTTGGAAAAAAGTCATCTTAATTCGATTAAGAATCATAAACACAAACTACCAACACTAGAAACTAAAATTAATAAAGACAATTTTGACAAAAAACTATATCAAAGTAGGCTAGATCAAATAATTTAACAACAAAGCGTTACATGCGATGAAGATAACTAAGTTAGTTGGGAAAAGAATTAAAACAACATAAAGCAAACAAGCCTCTAGGAGGAATAAAAATAAACACAAACTTAAATGAAAGAAAACGTACACTATAATGTTTACCCAAAGTATAGAAATATATCTGAAGGAAAAAAAAATGTTTATATAAAATATAGATCTGAAAGACGCAGGGGACTTATGAATATAAGAGAGTTCGTAACACGGCACATGGGCAAATCAGGCCGAAGAAAACAATAAAACAGTAAACGTTTATAAGAGGGACATATAATAAAAATTAACGAATTAATATAAGATATCAACATAAATAAAAAAAATGGACAACATAATATTAGACAAATAAACCGAACAAAGGAAACTGAACATGCTCTTGAAACTCCCGATTTAACATCAAATGAGTTAACGCAAATGATAAAAACATGAGATAAAAGAAGTCATCATAAAGTTAAAAAACAGAAAAGAAATTAATAAAATATGGCTTATACAGTTAACCATAATATTTAATAAAGGGTTAAGGTCATCAACAATACATGAGGAGTGGAGAACGAGTATTATGTTTTTTCTTTTACAATAGGTATAATGTGCGACCATAATACCTAAAGGAATTGTTAAGTAATATTTTGAAATTAATATTAAAAATAATATCAAATAATTTGAAGAAAAGATTAGTATACCAGACTAACAACAAGTTTCTTGTGCAGAGAAGTATATAATAATATAATGAACTAGCCTAACTATGTTTGGTTAATTTAGAAATGTCCTACGACACAGTGAGACTATCGGATACGATATACATCTGTACAACAGATAATCCAGATTACTTGATATCATAAATATAATAGAGAACCGACATGTAAGAAACAGAATCGAAGTAAAGTTCAAATGTTTATGACGAGTTTTTGATAACACAGAACGAAGATGATCTCCAATAAATACTACACCAGTTTAATATCAAAGCCAAACGATTTAATATGAAAATTTTATCACTTATTATGAAAGGTTTAGTATTGTCAAAGGAACCAACAAGGTGAAAGAAAGTTCAGATTGAAAACCTACTGGTAAAACAAGTATTAAAATTTAAATATATGGGAATACACTTATCGACCAACAAAAATATTGAAGAGAAAGTAAGGGGATAAGTGCTACAATGACACAATACGGTGAAACAGATACTAGATCTAGACAAACAAGCATAAATAAACAAATCTGTAATCCGACCAGTCTTGACATATACAGTAGGAACAAGATCAGATACAAGCACAGATATTTGGAGACAAATGAGATGAGAATACTAAGAAAAATGACCGGAAAAAGACTATTAGACAAAACAAGAAGCAATTATATGGGAAACCTATGCAGAATAAATAATATTAATCTATTTGTACAGACACAAGCATAGATATTTGAAGACAAATGAGATGAGAACACGAGAAGAATAACCGGAAAAAGACTTATTAAACAGAACAAAAAGCAATGACATAAGAAACTATGCAGAATAAACAATATTATTTAATTGGTACAGGAAAGAAAAAGAAAATGAATCTATTATATTAGCAGAATGGTAGAAAATATCATAGTTAGATTAGCCCTGGAAATAAAGAGATAAAACGAAATTATGCACACGAATAGGAAGAAAACGGGCAATTTGCCTATATAAAAAAAAGAGGAAGAAGACATTATAGTTAATTGAAAAGTTACATTAATATTACATTTTTAAGAGGATGCAATTATCTTTTTTGATGTGTGGAGTGTAGTAATGTGGAATATAAACTTAAGTTTAAGTTTGTAGGGTCGCCATTCTTGTCCCCGGTCACCATCTTTTAACTTTTTTCTGGTCATTTTACAATAAAATTACATTCAGTCAATATTATAGGGGGTTTTTCAAAGAATAATTTTTACTACAAATTTGTTTAATTTCATTGATTTCTTTGGATTTTAGAGAACTCCAATGTTCTTGAATACTCGTAAGAATACGATAAAAACGATTAGCTTAGTTTTCTAGTATAAATATTTATATTTTTTTATTTATACAATTTATTATTTTGTTAACATTGTTTTGTGATTATTCGTTTATTATCTACTTTTTCCCGACCATGTATGAAGTAAAGTTTGAAGGCGCGTTTTTAAGTGTTATTCCCATTAGGCTTAATCCACAAACAATTTCTAAGTGAGATAATATTGAGCATAACTATATATTTAAGAAGTTGTTTTACAGCTACTGTTTGTTACTTTTTTTGATATTCGAGGCTGTGTTCCTAATTCAGTAGAGTTAGAATTGGCGTAATTGTGGGTAATTCATTTTCAAATTCTTAGAAACTTTTGATTAATTTTGATATTTCCATGATATTACTGCAGGTTTCACCAGAACAATTAAGGCACACTTTAGAGAATTTGAGGTCTGCGTTTTGGCAACCACACATACTTTCACAGTTTGCATTGCATCTGCAGAAAATTTATTTTAGAAGTTCAAGGAAGCTGGAGTTTTGAAAGTTTTGATTGGTATCCAAATTTTTTTACGTTTTTTTAGCCCCAAATTTCAGGATCGCAGTGTTTTCTGCTGATAAATTTTAAGACTTTCGAAACGTGCTGTATCTTGTGTTGGCGGAATCAATGATAAGTCAAATACATTTTTGGTCACTTTGGTCATTTTGGTCTCGGCAAATCGTTTGTATCTTTCTTTCAGAGAATCATCTTTCTTTCCATT